TTTCCAAACAAATATATGATAATCCTTAAAAAACCAAAGGACACTATCCAGAGCACAGCAAGATATGAGACAGGGATTTTTAACCCAGAATCCATGAAACCTTGTCTTCATGGGCCCTAGTCTAGGGCTGGCCTCAGAGGGGCTGTGAACACCCAGAAACGTTATTATCTGGTACGTGTATGTATGTGTGTGTTTACCTCTCTGGCAAGAGGATCTTCGTTGTCATCAGATTTTCTATCAGGTCATGGTCCCCAAAAAGTTAGTTTTAGGAGGAAGAGCATCAACTTTGGAATCATCAAGTCCTGGATTCTGCAGCCTCCCAACTGAGTGTCCCGGGACAAGTCACTGTGCCCCTGGGGCTTCCGTTTCCCATTTTACAAATGGGGATACAAGGGTACCGCCTTATGGGGTACTGGTGAAGATGGTCAGGGCAATAACGAGCAGCATGAGCTGCACTTTTTTTTTTTTTTTTTTTAACCCACCCAACGCCCCTAGGAGGTAGATGCCCTTAATCACCCCATTTTACAGATGAAGGGAATGAGGCACACAGAGATTAAGGAGCTTACCCAGGCAGTAAGTGGTAGGAGCAGGGATTGAACTCGGACAGTCTGGCCACAGCGTTCCGTCCTTGGGGTGACTGCGCCCTACATCCTTCCCGAGTAAGCAGGACACCGCGGGGGGAAACAGGGTAGACGAGTCGGCTGAGAACAGGTGCTCTGCAAATGTCAGCCCTCTTACCCACCCACCCCATGGTCTGCTTGACGTCTTTGGAAACAGGGTACCCACGGCAGCCCTGAATACTCAGAATAGGGCTGCTGGCCTCCTGCCCTCCTGACTGGACCCTTTTCCCTGCTCTGCCCCTTCCCTGTGGTGAAAAATACCCAGCTTGTTTGTGTTGAAATCCGCATTGTTCAGAGGATCCAGGGACCTGGGAGACTCCGAGGGCAGGTGGGATCCATGCCCAGTTCCCTCCCCCGGCCCTGATCTGTGCCAGGAAGGCACTCAGAACTCAGGTGGAGGCCCCGAGCCCCATTTGCCCAGCCTGAGCACCGAGGCCACGACAAAGGGCTCCCTGGGGAAGGTGGGCCTACGGCAGGCGTCTTAACCATTGGGCGGGACCCAGCAGGAAGCTTGCTGGGGACACCGTGGCCTCTGAGCTGCCCTCGGGGACAGAGGAGGGGTGGCCAGAGAAATAGAGAAGAGCTTTGGCCCTACTGTGGCCGGTACAATCAGAGTTCACCTCTGCCTCTGGGATCCAGCTCCCCTGGGGGAGGCTGTGGGGGTGGGCTGTTGGTGGGCCGAGAGCTGCCCAGGCCCTGTGACCAGCCCTTCTCTCCTGCACTGGTCCCTGACAAGCCTAGGTCAAGCCACACAGCTCCATGTGCAGTTCAGGCCACGTAACACTAATTACTATTATTATTACCATGACAACTTTCATCTGTTAAGCCTCACTCCACGCCAGGTACTATCTATGGGCTTTCACAGGTATTAATCCTGCAGAATCC